TGATGCTGCTTGGCCTGCTGTGTTCATCCAGCCCTGCACCTTGTTGTCTCGGATTCTCCAGCATCTGCAGTTCCTACTATCTCTGATTCATGTACAAACCATTCTTCATTTCCTTGCAACCAGTTACAAAACAACAGGAGAAGGAACTTAAGCATAGGACAGATGCTTCAGGTTCCACCACACCTCGCCACCTCCCCCAACACAGAGTAGAGGGATTAAAGATCGAAGCCAAGTGAAAAAGTGAAACAAACTAGTTATTTTGATTGGCATGGTACTGTCCAAACTGTTCACTTGCATAACATATACTTTTGTCCAAACTAAACAGCAGTGAAACACAAGAGGGCAGAAAAGAACAGAGGATTCGGTGGAGATCGGAAAGGAGACGAGGACAGGAATGGTGGGAGGATGGAGGGGTGGAAAGAGAACAACTTGAATTCTCACTATTCGACGGATCAATTGATATCTCTCTTGCACTGATAAAAAGGGTTTCTGGTTATGCTGTCAAATTTATTAAAAACCTAACATTGTAATCTGAGAAATTAGTGTAGAAATATGAAAGTCACCTAAAATTTTCTCACTACCAGTGGAGGCACTAGCTTGTTGACTTTAAAATGGTTTCGTGCTTCCACTATAAATCGTGGAGACAGGAGTTTCTAAATGGTCTGTTAACTATACCAGTATCAAGTGGTGCAAAATCAGGGGTTAAATTCTTTGCTGTTTGTAGTTACCTTATAATTCAAAGCAAAATTTTAGATAGTGGCAGCCAGCAAACGATGCTGCAGCCCCTCAAAAAGATGTTGTCAGGCAGCAGCTACAACATGGCTCAAACAGGTAATCTAGAACCTGAGGAATAAAGGCTTCCTGGTGCAGACTCTGGTAGCATTGACTCAGGCTGCATTCTAAGGTTCAGGAAAGGGGTGAAGAGGGTCAAGGAAAGGAAAGTGGGATTGGCAGGTGGTAGGAGGTAAACAACATTTTTCTTGTACAATAAAATCAACCTAAAAAGCAAAAAACAAATTATTTTATGGACCAATGTAGAAATTTAACAACAGAAAGTACTTCAATTTACAGGGCATAATATTTCAGTTTTTTTCCAATAAGGAAGCCTCTACGGAACTTAACTCATGAGTCAACATCAAATGACACGTGTTCCTATAGAATCAAAGTTGTGATTTTCAGGAATGCAGACACAACTTTAAGATGGAACTTCATGCATTTTTTTTTCCTCTAGTTACTTTTCTTCCAGCTTATTCAATTGTTCTTTCCCTATTTCCATTTCTCTTTCTGTATCTAATTTCATGTCAACTTTACCAACTCAGAGTTATAGTTCCTTCTCATTGCTCAACTGTTAATTCCATAATTCTTTAAATCAGATTGGTTATGATGTACAGCTGCTTGTCCTGTTCACTCTGGTGTCAGAGTCACTATTTGTCTCACTGTATCATTATTGGCTCATACGTCCAGCAACATGTCATGTTGAATTATTTTAAAATCCAAGAATGCAAGAGCAAATCTAACTAATGGCAGATACCATTACATATTGCCTCCTACAGCAAATTATGGCCCATCACTTCCGTCCAGAAAAAAAATTAACTAACAGCTTTATTTCCTCCAGGTTGAGAAAAACACAGCTGGTGCAAAATGTCAAAAGAAATTGAAATACAAGCAAAACACACTATGAATAACACACGTGTCATTTAAAATCCTCATAAAACCACTTCTGAACTCATTTTTTTTAAAAACAAGACTACTACATTAAATCTTCTGCAACTTTGCTTTTCCAAAAAAAATTACTACAATGTCAAAAGAAACAAAGCACAGCAAAGGACAGGTGAGAAAGCACTGATATCAACACAATGATAGTTATTCTGTGCTACCACCAATGACTCAGGCAGCTGGCTATGACTTGAGTGCTTCTGAAGGCCTTGAAAGTGGCTAAATCAGGAGGTGTACAATATATTCAGGAATAAAAAAAAGTGAGTCATCAAGGTTTGATATAATCAAAACGTCAATCTGTGCTGTTTAAATTAGTATTTGACTGAAGTATAAAAATGGATTACACGCACTGACCTCTTTAAGATTGTTGACTTGCTGAATGTACCCTGTCTGAGCCACCTCGAGTTGGCTGATGTACCAATTTTGGTCACGACACTTCTGGAAGAATGTAGGAGCACGTACCTGGTACCTGCAATGTTGAGACAGACAAGAGTGATTAGTAGAGACTAGCATTTCTAAAATTGATGTGCTACCCAAATAAAATATTGATCAACAGGAATGGATTTCAGATGTCTAGAGAAATCAGAGGTATGAAGTCAATACAAAATGTGAAATAGAGTCATACATCATGGAAACAGACCCTTTGGTCCAACCAGCCCCTGCTGAACATAAACCCAAACTAAACTAGTCCCGCTTGCCTGCTCCTGTCCCATATCCATCCAAGCCTTTCCTATT